AAGGGAAACAATACTTTCAAATTCACTCCTAGAAGCAAGTGTTACTTTGATTCCAAAACCAGGGAAAGACCCAATCAAAAAAGAGAACTACAGGCCAATCTCCCTAGTGAACATAGATGCAAAAATCCTCAACAAGATACTGGCAAACAGAATACAGAGTGTCATCAAGAAGATCATACACTATGACCAAGTCGGATTTATACCATGGATGCAAGGATGGTTCAACATACGTAAATCAATAAATGTAATGCACTATATTAACAGAGTCAAGGACATAAACCGTATGATCATCTCAATAGATGCAGAAAAAGCATTTGATAAAATTCAAAACCCATTCATGATAAAAACCCTGCAGAAAATTGGAACAGTTGGTCTTTATCTCAACTTGATAAAGGCTCTCTATGAGAAACCAACAGCCAACATCGTACAAAATGGTCAAAAAATGAAAACCTTCATGCTAAAATCAGGAACAAGACAAGGATGTCCACTGTCACCACTCCTGTTCAATATAGTTTTGGAAACATTAGCCATGGAAATTAGACAAGAGAAAGAAATAAAAAGAATAAAGATAGGACAGGAAGAAGTTAAACTGTCATTATTTGCTGACGATATGATACTCTACATAGAAGACCCAAAAAACTCTGCCAAAAGACTTCTAGACTTAATTGACAGACTCAGTAGAGTACCTGGATACAAGGCAAACATTCAAAAATCAATGGCATTCTTGTATACAAATTACAGACTCACTGAAAGAAAAATTAGGGAAACAATCCCTTTCACAATAGCATCCAAAAAAAATGAAATATCTAATAATCAATCTAATGAAGGAAGCAAAAGACCTCTACATTGAGAACTACAACACTCTGAAAAAAGAGATTGAAGAGGATAGAAAATGGAAAGACATCCCTTGTTCCCAGGTAGGAAGAACAAATATAGTGAAAATGGCCATACTTCCAAAACTGCTATACAGATTCAATGCAATCCGTATTGGAATCCCAACAGTATATTTCATAGAACTAGAGAAAACAATCCAAAAATTCATTTGGAGCCAGAAGAGACATAGAATAGCAAAAGCAATTCTAGGCAACAGAGACATGACAGGGGGTATCACAATCTCCAACTTGAAACTATAGTACAAAGCCAATGTGATAAGAACAGCATGGTACTGGCAAAGAAACAAACCTGAGGATCAGTAGAATAGATTAGAAGATGCAGAAACAACTCCAGACACACTTTTTTTTTTTGGTACCAGTAATCGAATTCAGGACCTTGTGCTTGTGAGGCAGGGTGCAGCACCACTGAGCTAAATCCTTGGCCCTAACTCATCTTTGACAAAGGAGCCAACCATCCTCACTGGAGGAAACAGCTTCTTTAATAAATGGTGTTGGAAAAACTGAATTTCACCTTGCCAAACATTAAAACTAGGCCCCTATCTTTCACCATGCACTAAACTAATATCCAAGTGGATTAAAGATCTAACTATTAAAACAGAAACCTAAACAGAAACCTTGCTGGAAGATGTTAGGCAGAACTCTTGAAGACAATGGCATAGGAACAAATCCTCAGTAGCACGGGAACTGTCACAACGAATCAACAACTGGGATCTCATCTTTTTAAAAAAGCCTTTACACTTCAAGAGAAACCACCAACAAAGCTAACAGACAACCTACAATGTGGGAAAAAATTTTTAGTATAATTGATATTTTGTGATAGGAAGAAAAGGTCTAAAGGAGTAGGGAAAGTGGGAGGGGAAGAGAAAAGAAAAAAATATGAGAAAAGGATAAAATGGAAACAAAGTCTTTGTAAATAGCGAAGGGTGGAGGGGGTGAAGGGAGGGCAGAGGAATGGGGAAAAAATAAGAACCAAGATACACCATGTAAAAGTTCAAGATTCCAATGGTGAATGTATCTGTATTGTATACCTAACACGACCAATAAACTTAATGGAAAAAAAAAGAGACAGACACATGCACATAAAAATTTACTATGCCACCCTTCTGATTAAAATCCTTCCAAGTACTCCCATTAGGCTGGCACATCACTCATGTGTTGTTGACTCCTGTCAATTCTCCCAAGTGTCATCTCCAGGTACTACTCTGCAGACCTTCTGTACTGGGAATGCTAAGTTAGGCAGATGCCTGTGGACTTTCACTAGACTTCCTGCTGAAGAAAACAGCAAGGTCTCTCTGTTAAATAAGTTGATACATTGAGACTCGGATGCTAGCATGCTATTTTTTAATGCACCTTGTACCTCTGACCCTACCAGGTGACATTTAAACTCACCCATATCATTTGTGAGTGTCCCTAAACTTGCTTCATCAGAACTTATTGTTTTAATTACATCATACAAGCTGATAAAATATGAGTATTCAAAGAAAGACAGCTTCTCATGTATTCATACTTTGAAACATTTGAAAAGACTTGATAATGGTATATTAAAAGAATATTGCTGGCAAATTGGGATGGGAAAATGATGATTGAAGATTGGGAGGCTAGAATTCTTTAAAGAGACAAGCCTTTGCATTTAGATTTTCTTTCAAGTACTTTTAAGTTCTCTCTTGTTTTAAAGAAAGCAAAACTAGAAAGAGTAGATAATGTGATATTAGTGTATGTTACCTAAAAAAGACAAAGGGGAAGTAGAATCAATGACCTCACACTCAAAAGAATGGCTTTGGCTTTGTAACATGCTATGGTGTGAGTGTCTGTGTCCCCTCACAGTTCAGATGTTGAAATCCTAATCTCAAAAGCTATAGTATTAAGAGGGGGAGTCTTGCAAAATGTGCCCAAGGGAATTCTTTTGTCCTTTTCATGATATGAAAACACAGTGAGAGGCTGATTGTCTGCAATCTGGGTGAGAGCCCTCAGGAAAACCCTGCCATTCTGACATCCTGATCTTCAACTTCCCATCATCTAGAAATTTGAGAATTGCTATTGTTCCTGACTTGCTCAAAACATGGATTTTTTTAAGGCAGCCAAACAAACTAAGATATGACAAATAAATTGTGCAAGGACATACAGATATGTTTCCAGTTAAAGTAAATGTTCGAGGTGATCATGTTATGGTTTAGATCTAAAATGTACCCCCAAAGTCTGATGTATTCAGATGTGGGGCTTTTGGATGGTTATTGGATCATTGGGGCACTACATACATAAGCAAATTAGTCCACTGCAAGGTCATTGGCTGTTAGGAGGTGGGGCCTGGGGTGTGCTACTGGGGGCAGGACCTGGAAGGGTGTATCGTTCTTGGCCCTACCTCCTCCCTTCTCTCTCTGTTTCCTGGCTGCCACGGGTGAACCTTTTTCCTCTGTGTGCCCTTCTGCCATGCTATTTCAGCCCTGGAGACAGTCAACCATGTGTTGCATCTTCTAAAAACTGTGAGCCAAGATAAATCTCTCCTCCTTTAAGTTGCAGGTGGTAGGTATTTTGTCCCAGCAATGGAAAAATTGTCTAATGCGACACTTTATGATTTTCTGAAGTAACCAGCAGTACCTTCCTGTTCCTGAGGCAGCTAGAGGAAGATCGTCTCCCATACTTCAGCTTCCTGAATGTCCCTTTCTCACAGCTCCGTGACTTTGAACATGCCGTTTCCTCTGCCAGGAAAGCCCCTCCCTGCTCTCCAGCCTGTATAATCTGGCATGTTCTGACTTGTCCTCACCTCACACTACCTGGAACACCGTAACTCCCTGAACTATCATATCAAGTGTGATCTCCTTCATTTTGCTTCTTTTTAGTGCTTTTTTCCCTAATATGTCCTTCATCTGTTTTTGTTCATTTTTTTCTCACCCAGCAGTGGAACCTCCATTCTATATTAGGAAAGTGCCCCACCCTAAAGCAGTGCCTGCCTCTTACTGTAGAAGATGTAAATGCAAGTTGCTCTTTTCCCTGTCACTCATTGCTGGGACCCAGGCATGTAGCAAAAGCTTTGCTGCCATCTTCCACGGGCTTCAGCTCTGCTTTTACCTGAACAGCCAGTGATATGAAGCTGGCTGGATGCTGCTGCTGCTGAGACTACTCAGGGGCTGAGTGGCAGCAGTAGAAGTGGCTATTTTCAGTTCTGGAGATGCCAGTGGCAGAGATACAGAGTACTCAGTTGCCTGTGAAACTGGCTCTTTTTGCCCTCCCAGTTATTCTGTAAGCCTTCTAATAGGTTTTAATAAATTATTTTTTCTGTCCAAAATTAACTAGAGTTGGTTTCTATTACTTAAAGCTCAGAATCTTGGCTGATATATTGCCTTAAGGCAATGGTATGGCACTGTAATGTTTCCATGTATATTTTCCCCATGTAATTGACAGCTCGGAGGGTCCCATTTTATCTCTGTTATCCTAGTGCCTAGCACAATATAAAGTAGTGCAGAGTAGATTCTTAACAAATTGCTATTAAGCATTAATTAATTAATTACTTTACTGATGATAAAAGACTTCTCTGGAAACCCAAACCCACAAAGTGACAACGAATAATATTTCCAATGGCTAAGACTTGTTGTCCACTCTGGATAGCTCCTCTATCTGCAGTTTTTATAAATGACAGTACAGCCATAGTATTTAATTAAATAGCATTTATTTAAATACAAGATGGTAACATATATCATCTACTTATATACTTAGCAGCTCTGCAAAATGTTAGTAATGCATATAAAAAGTACACAATTAAACACCTTCACTGTAGTGAATGATGAGCATTTTTAAGGATAATCCACCAAATCAAAGAACTGGCAAAAGTGCTGTCTAAGCTGTATCATTTCCAGGTGTTCTACCACATATTCTCACCATCTTCATGGTCAGTTCCAAGTTCTGTACCATCCCACAAGTTCTAAGAAAACACAAGTATGCATATTTGAATTGGCCCATACTTGGATTTTCTGAAGCAAATTCCTCTGTAAACCACACTGAAGAGGGAGACAAAGGCTTGCAGAAAATCAATTGAATAATCTTGGGTCTGATAGTGCCAGGGATGGTTGTTGGAACAAATTAGTTGCCTATTTCTCAACTGTCTCTTTATTTCACGCTACATGGAACTGGTAGTTGACATATCTGACTTGTATATTGTCTTTGGCTAGAAGTTTTTCTTTCTTAAAGAAATTCAAGGGGGTATTGGATAGAATGAATTAGCAAACTTACATTACTATTGTTCCTGAATATACAATCGAGCATGTGCAGCAGTTACAATTATATGAATATAATACATGAATTTAAAATGCTTCCAATGACACACAGTAAGTTGAAATTATAACAAGTGTCAAGCAACACTGAAACAGGGCATTCTAGAGCTGAGGAAGGATCTTGAGCTCTGGAAATATTTTCTCTTTTCTTTAGAGATTGTGTATCAGGGATAAAAATCATGGTTCCTAATCCTGACTTAACATATGAATTTGAGTAACTAACCTGTCATCTCTATGTCCCTACTTTTTCATAAGCCAAATATACTATTAATCCTTTAAAGAAACCCTATGATATGGTACCAAAGGCCTAGGTTAGGCATGAGATTTTGTGTGACCTCTTTCAGATGTGGCTCCCATGTACTCAAAACATTAAAAAAAAATCTGTCTATCTGATGGAAAATATCTTTTGCTATTTATATAGCAGGAAGATTCCACCTTTCCTTCATGCAAATTTATGACTTTTTTGTGGCATCGTTTTCTGTCTTCAACAGGGTATTTTTAACATTCCCCCTTATAGAATTTTGCATTATAATAATTTGTTTACAAGTTTTCCTTTTTGATAGATTTTGCATTTTATGAGGTGGAGTGATATGTGCTCAAATCTCAATCTATGGTTGTCATATAGCAGGTTTTCTGTGTTTATGAAGGAGATGACAGTATTTATAGAAGTGCTTTGAAAATCAAAATAATACCAAGCAAACCTAAGCAATTATAGTATTGTATTCATTACTATTATTGCAGAGGAAGGCACTTGGGAAAGTAAAACATTCATCCAAAGAATAAAATGTTCTGGTTATGGCTAGGCCTTAAACCAATAGATAGGATCCATTAGTCCACAATGTAAACCTTGTTCACAGATAGCACAAGACAAACACAAAAATATTTAAAAATTAAAGTCACTTAATCTCTCCAAACAAAATGAAAATAACAAAGAAGAAAATTTAAAACATAAACGACAACAGATACCAAATAAAGTTCAGAACCCATCTTTCTTTACTTCCCTGGGTCACCTCTGCCCTGTGGGATTCTTTGTATAACCAGAGTGGGAGCCCATGGAAGAAGGGTGAGCTGACATTGCTGAGGTGCCTTGACATGGCTTATTGGTCAGATGTCCCATTGTTCAGGGCCAGCGATATGTTCTGCGATCCTGGATAAATGTGTTTGGGGTAGCAGCAAGAGAATCCTGGTCTTGATAACTAGCAACAGAAATTCTGGGCTTCTAAAGTATTCCCTCCTGACATCATTTTCATAAAACCAAAATCAAATTGGCTTGATGGTCCTTTGTTGCCTTCTTCCCCTTCTTGATATGGCTGGCCATTGTACTTCATACCCAAAGTTCAATTATCCCCTCATCCCACATCCTTTCTCACAGTAATTTTAATTGACAAAACCATGTATTCCCATTTACATGGAACAATCCCAGTTTATGCTTGTTGCCCTGGAGTGATTATTTATAACTTTCTCTTTCACTTTCAAAAGTGACCCAGTTTGGATAATATATTATATAGCCATCCTGTTACTAGTGACACTCAAAAATGGAGCAGACTATAGGTAAGACAAAGGCTCATCTGCAGGGAGATTACAGTCAGACTCTAGGCATCTGATCTTGGCCCCAAGCCTCACTTAATAGGCAACATCGACAAATTTCTTAAGCCCTCAGTCTCAATTTCATCATCTATAAAAAAGGGAATAATAATGATGATTATAAATCCTATCTACCAGGATTATTATGAGGATGAAATGAAGCAAAACATGTAGTGCACTCAGCACAGTGGTGGATATAAACTAAGTCTTAATGATAATAATTGTCATTCTCTTCTTCCCTTCCTCCTTCCCTCACTCTTTGCCTTTCTCATCCCTCTATCCTTTCTTTCAATCTTTCTTTTATTCTTTCTTGCTTTTTAAGCCTTATATAGTTAATTCACTGGGTCACCTGAAACCATATGACCAAATTAACATGGTAGAAGCAGAATGTTTCTGCCTCATGTTGAAGGCAACTGAAGCAGGAGGTCAAAGCAATGTCTCAGAATCCTGAAGACTATGTAGTTAGGTAGCATTAATCTTGCCTTCTTCATATTTAGAAGGTGAATAGGAACTCTAAATTTCACCTCCCAGCCATTATCATCAGCCATAATAGGGATCATCTTGGGTTTCCTACAATTCACTGGTTTTTGTAAAAGCTGGACATGGTGACATAAGCTTCTTCCTGACTTTGTTTCAAAGAAGTGAGGATGGGCTGTCCCTGAATACCTGGGTTCATTGTCAGGATTCCTGATTGGAGAGGAAATGGTGGGAGCACAGTGCTGTCTGTAGTTCCAGGACTAAGCAGCAATCCCTGGTACATGTGAGAGCCACTCCTGATACCCTTCCTGCAGTCTGGAGACCAGAAAGAGGGGTGCATAGAGGCATTACATGCGCTGATGTTTCCAGTAGGGCATCCAAAGGGTAACTCTCCTTTGAAAGCTTCTGAGGTGATAACTGGAATCTGAGATGGCCAGTTGTGTCCTTGCCCACTCCCTGCAAATCCCTGTTTCTCAGACTCCTCAAATTGTGGGGAAAGAGTGTCTTGCAGAAAGCTTTCCACTTCATCTCTAGATTGAATGTCATCAACCTTATGAATCTGGCAGTCCAGAAAATGTTCAGGATTGAAACTCACATTCAAATTCTGCACAGAAAAAAGAGAGAGACATTAAGATGGCACGAAAAAGATGGGCCAGCAAACATTCAGTTCAGGCATAGATTAAAGAACCTTCTGACCAGGATTTACCAGGGAATGTCTGAGAATTGCTCGCATGTCCTTTGGCTTCTGGACATACTGTGACACTTCAGGGTTTGAAATGACCACTTGCTGTGATCTCCAGCCCCAACAAGCCTAGAAGTATTGAGACTTGGATTTCATTTTAGCTCCTTACCTGCAGGGAGCTATAGATAGGATCTCACACATGACCCTAGTTAAGGGGTACATACAAGACCAGAAGTTGAAGTACAGCTATTCCTTGTTCTGGAATATCTTTCTTGGCTACTAGGATGGTACTACCATAGTGCTTCTTTAAGTACCAGACATACTTACTTTTTCTGGTTTCTTACACAGTTGTTCCAGAGTTTTCTTATGATCAGGCAGACTTGGCCATACAATAGGCTTAATCCTGAAATCAGAGGACATTGATAGATAAAGTGAATGGCAGAAAGAACAGGCCCAATAGGCTTTTCTATTTATTCTGAGCAAGCACCTACAACTAGTGGGTGACTGTGGACGAGTGAAATGTTTTCTCTGGGGCCCATTGCCCTATCAACTCAAGGAGAGGCTAGACCAGAGGTCATTGTTATTAATCTGCTCTACAAACAAGATATTGCAATGGTCCACCAGGGAAGAAGAAGCTCCCAGATGGAAGGAACAATGATATTGGAGTGAGGTAATTTCAATGTAGCTCTGAAAATAAAGTTTGACATGGTCATTTCCTCCCAATACAGATAATGTCATCATATCGCTTCTTTACTGACAGTAACTCCTTTGCTCTAATTTTTGTGGAATATGTTCTAAACTACTCATGGAAATTGCCTTAAGGCAATACTTTTCAAATTGGTGTATTTGCAGTATGGATACATGGCCCCATACTCAAGAGATTTGATTATATCAAGTAACTTAACTGGTGTGATTTTTATTTTAGGAATAGAGTTTTCCTAATGTTCAGTTTTATACATTTTGGCCTCTTATGAAATCAATTGTGGAATTTCACTGGTACTTGAGAATAGGGAGGGGTGAGCACTACAATTCCTGATATATCTAACTCCCTTTTGCAAAGTTCTCATCAATAATTGGGGCTCAAATGTTCACTAACTGGAATTCCTTACAATCACCTTCTAGATTATTTTTTTAAATCACCTTTTTTTCCATAATGCACAGGATAAGATGACCAACAGAACCACAGAGAAAAAGCTGGTAATGCTGATAGTTGATAAAACAGGATTCATCTCTTCTGAAATACAGGGATAGATTGTGATTAGTATTTAGTAAGTATAGAGTTGGGTAGACTTTCAGAAAACATTTAATTTGTTTAGTAACATGGGATTTTTTGTTGTTTCTTGAAAGCTGTTTTTTGGTAAAAAAGATGATGTACCTAGTTTAAGGGACACAGACTTGGGTGACTAGAGCTAGACCATCAGCCTCTTGGAATGCAAAAATGATCTAGCATCGAAAGTACCACAAGTCCCTTCCTAACTCCTCCCAGCAAGGAAAAGAAGTCAAAGTAGGAAGTGAAAAAAATACATGTTCATCCTCAAGTCACAACAAGTGCCAGAGGAACAATAGGAAGTTGGCACGGTAGTGTTACAGATTTTCCCAACCAGCCAAAGAGAAGGTCCCTTTCAGGTTTTTTTTTTTTTACTTTCCTGAGTCATGTTCTCTTGCTTTTCTGGCCATTATGACTTTGTAGACCCCAAGGACATCTTTATGATTTTGGAAAAGGAGATGCAGGACAGCCATGCTGGCTTGTCCACCTGCCATCATAAAAGGTGTTTTCCTAGGAGCTTTTAAAGAGACCAGCCTAAGTTGGTAAATAGGAGGTAGTCATGGGGATTTTGATTATTAGCAGCTACCAGGAACATCACAGGCAGTAGCAGTAAGACAACTACATCAGTCATCAGCTATTAAGCACTGCTATTCCCACAGCTTCCTATTCTTCACAATAAGAACAGAGATAGGAGACAGACTATTCTCCAAAGAGAGTGGAAGAACACCCTCCTAGGGTGTCTCAATCAGCAGGTTTATTGTGTCAATCTCCCTTTCCTTTTCTACTTTACACTTTGACATACAATGTATTGTAAGAATAATGAAGATTTCTACACCCATTGCTCACCTGCATTATTGGCCTCTGGAGTTTTGAAGTGGGAACTTGGACTCCATTCACTCCAGAAGCCTTTGTAATAGTCACTATCAGGAATGGATCGAACTTTAATCTCATACATTGCATCAGATTGTAGCTTTCTCAGTGGGAGTGTCAGCCTTGTGTTGAATATATTCATATGCTGAAGAGTAAAACATGACATTAGATATTTTAGGATGTGAAAAGAGGTGTTGCTCATATTTCCCAAATCACTTCGAGGTGAACTCCTTTGGATTGTAGGCATCCTCCTGAGGTTCTCTTGTATTTGTTAAACTAAGGAAATCAAGTATGTGGAGGGTTTAGCAGCAGAATCAGGAGGAGAATCTCTAAGTTCATAAATTATGCCAGGAGTGGCCAAAGAGAACTGTCATAGTGTAAGTTTTTTTCAGCTGAGTTAGGCTTTTCCACTTCAGAAAGCTATAAATCACCCCTAGGATTTCATCTTCCTTTCCATGTGTAAACATATTCTTTAGCTTCTCTCCTTTTTCACAAGCCAAAGGGAAATGAAAGGATAGATTAAGGAGCAAAAATAATTCCACCCCACATAGATGTCATTTTATGTTGGGAATAGCTATATTCAGATAGTAGCTTCCCCAACACTGTGTAATATCCATAAGGAAAAAATAAGAATGAAAACTTTCACCATTGATAAGTGCACACAGATCCTAGGGAGCAGATGTGTGGCCCAGACCAGCGCAGCTACAAGCAGATCCCAGCTAGGGCACTGTCCTGACCCCAGAGGCTCAGGCACACCTGCCCAAGCCAAAGGCCCACCCAGAAAAGAACTGCAGAGGCACACAAACTTCAGCCAGAGGCTCACCCACATACCATTGATAAGTGCATGGACACCCTAGCCAGAAGCCTGCATAGACAACAGGAGTGCACAGCCCCCAGCCAAAGGCCCCCCCAGACAACAGGTACATAGGGGCCCCAATGAGAGGCACACCTAGATACCATCCCAAGTGTGCACAGGCTCCAGTCAGAAGCCCACCCAGAAAACAAGTCAGCTCAAGGATCCAGAAGGTCACCACTCTGAACCCAGGAATTAGTGTACTGGTGAGCAGCAGAGTAAAGGTTTCTTGGTGGCTTGCTGAGAATTCAAGACCACTGGGTGACCAAAAAGTCACCTCAACAAAGGCACAGCAAGCTGCATCTGTTCAAATGAGAAGACACATAAATAAGTCTCAAAACCAGACTTCCAGATCACCTAAGACAACCCCAAAGGGCAATGAGATGGAACGATCTGATACTCAAACACCTGAACTCCTTGAAAGGGCAATAAAAGAGGACCTGGAAAAAATGAAATCAGAAATAATTTCTCAGATAACAGGAAAGATTGTGCCCATAGTACAAGACATGATTAATAAATCTAGAGTGGACATATAAAAAATAGAGATGCTGAGGAACATGATGGAATCCCAACATAGGAAACAAATGAAATCCATAAAACAGATGCAAACAGATTTCTGGGAGATTAAAAACTCCACTGAAAGTTTACAAAGCAGAATGAGGCATTGTGAGGATAGAATATCAGACAGAGAAGATAGGATTGCAATTAGTGACCAGGAAGAGAAAAATTTCTTAAAAATAGTAAGGGACCATGAGAAGCCAATCCAGCAGCTGCTAGATGATGCAAAGAAGAATAATAGACTGATAAGTCAATGAAGAAACAGGAGAGAGTACAGATGACATAAAAAAGATGTTCACAGAAGTAATGGCAGAAAACTTCCCAAGCAGGGAAAAAGAACTTGACATACAGATAAGGGAGGGATATAGGAATCCAACTAGCCTTGATCAAAAAAAACAAATCTACACATAGGTATATAATAGTCAAGATCCCAGAAACCCAACAGAAGAACAAAATCCTACAAGCACTTAGAAAAAAGAAACAAATCACATACAAAAGAAAGCCCATCAGAATCATAGCAGATTTCTCAACATAAACCCTGATGTCAAGAAGAGTGTGAAGTGAAGTACTTCAAGCCTTAAAAGAAAACAGCCTCCAACCCAGACTGATGTACCCTGAAAAATTATCTTTCAAAATTGATGGAGAAATAAGATACTTTCATGACAAAGAGCACCTTAGGAACTTCATGAATACCAAACCAGCACTCCAAAGAATTTTAGACAATATCCGAGGAAAAGACAATGAGGATCACAATCCCAGGAAGCCCAGTAGAATGAATCCATCAGACACAACAAGAAATTAAAAGCAAAGGGTGAGAATCCAACAAAAAGAAAAAGTCATGAAAAGGATGTCAATACATATCAGTTGTAACCATCAATGTAAATGGTCTCAATTCACCAATCAAAAGAAATAGACTGGAAGAATGGGTCAAGAAGCAAGATCCAACAATATGCTGCCTACAAGAAACACACTTATTTCAAAAAGAAGCTCATAGACTGAAAGTTAAAGGGTGGGAAACAATACTCCATGAGAAAGGAATCCCCCCCCCCCAAAAAAAGTAGGAGTAGCTATCCTCTTTGCAGATCAAGTGGATTTCAAACCAACAATGATGGGGCAGGGGTTTAGCTCAGTGGTTCTGCTGTCTGTCTCAAACCAACAGTGATGAAGACAGACAAAGAAGGACACTACATCCTTGTAAAGGGAACAATCCAACAGGAAGAGATGACAATCATAAATATCTATGCACCAAATACTGGTGTGCCCAATTATATAAAACAAATACTAAGGGACATGAGAAATCATATAAGCACTAATACAATAGTAGTGGGGGACCTCAATCTCCACTGTCACAATTAGATAGATCAACTCAACAAAAAATAAACAACCAAATACTAGAACTGAATTAAACTCTTGAAGAAAAGAACTTAACAGATGTTTACAGAGTGTTCCACCCCACAAAATCAGAATACACATTCTTTTCAGCTGCACA